TTTTGTTCTTTAACTAATTAAATAAAAAATATATTTAATAAATCAGCATGACCCAGAAGTCTGAAGCATGACCCTGAGACTTTGATCAGTGTGTTGCCCCTCAGCCTAAAACTGAATATTGAGTAGGGGCGGGGCTTTCTTTTGTGAATCACAAAACTCTAAAAGGGGCGTGGCTCAAGCTATAGTGGTTACAGATAAGTCAACAGATAAGCACCGCCCACTTCAGAACCAGACACTCAGAATTTGATTAAAGATGACCAAAACAACCCTTTTAATTCAGTGGATTAACCTGCATGTGTTAGTCATTCACCTACAGAGGAACAATGTGCGCTAGCTAGATAAACAGTGTGCATTTACATTTCAGATATATAGATGAACAGGTATTAATACTAAACTGTTTTATATTTGTACATCCATTAATATTTGAGCAATGACAACTTGTTTTAATGTTTACCTGCATGCTGATTTAAATATATTCAGAGTGAAAGGGCATGCAAATATGACTTCATAACAACATTAGCTCTATTGAACTGACTGTGAGCAATACTTTAAGTCATTGGATGATGATTTGATTTCACTATTTTTCTGAAATAAGGAGAAAGTCCAGATGTGTGAATATAAACCCAAATTGACCCCAGCTGCTGTTTGAGTGTATGCCATACTCACTAAAGTCAAGAAGAGCTGCTGAAATCCATGTCAGATTATCTCCTCATATCCAGCCATATATCCAGCAGACGCTCTCCTTCATCATTTCTCTCCGCACCCATTCTCTACTGCAGGGGAAGACAAATCATGTGGGCCTTTATTTACTGTGTAAATCCCACAAAATGGCACTTGTGCTCAGAAATGGTGCAGTGGAGCAGATCAGATGGAGGAGGCTTTCTCTGAATAAATCCCAGGACGTCTCAAATGCACTCACTCATAGAGACAGAGGCGGGGACAACACACCGCAGGAGTGTGTGTGTGTGTGTGTGTATGTGTGCCACAGATTTAAGGTATTCCCTCACGTTCGCATCATCTGACAACAACACACCAAACAAAGCTGAAAACCACGTCTGATCACTATTTGAGCTACGAGTGTTTATTTATTTATATTTGTTAGTTTATTGATTATTTATTTTAATTATATATATATATATATATATATTTTTTTTTTTTTATATATAATATTTTATATATAACTTTATAAGTATAACTTTATATATATTGTATTACTTATGTTTATTTATTTATAGTTATTTGTTTGTTTATTTTTTATTAATGTACTTATGTTCATTCATTCATTTTCTTCAGCTCAGTCCCTTTATTAATCTGGGGTCGCCACAGTGGAATGAACCAACAACTATTCCAGCATATGTTTTACGCAGTGGATGCCCTTCCAGCTGCAACATCCATACACACTCATTCACACTACAGACAATTTGCCTTACCCAATTCACCAATACCGCATGTCTTTGGACTTGTGAGGGAAACCGGAGCACCTAGAGGAATATGTAAATATGTATTTATATTTATTTGTTTATTAAATAATTATTTTTTGTATTTTATTAATATTTACTAATAATATAATTATTGTATTTATTTTTATTTATGTATTTATTTATTTATATTTAGATGTTTGTTTGTTATTAGTTCATTAATTAAATATTTTTTACTATTTTTTATTTATTTATTTAATTTTATTTGTTTATTAATTAACTATATTATTGATATTAATTATATTATTGATATTAATATATATAATTTATTATATATTTTTATATTTATGTATTTATTCATTTGTTTGTTTATTAGTGGCTAAAAATATTTATTTAATTTTAATTTTTATTCATTTTTATTTATGTAATTGTGTATTTATATTTGTTCGTTTATTAAATAATAATTAATAATATTGTATTATCATAATAATGTATTAATATATATTAATAATATTATTAATTAATTACATTTTTATTTATTTTAATTTAGATGTTTTTTGTTTGTTATTAGTTAATTAATTAATCTTTTTGACTTCATTATATTTATTTATTTGTTTGTTATAACAATATTCCTAAGGTATTTCCTGTGTAACATTTTTAACCTCCAAAGTTTCCAATAATCAAAAAAGGTCCACATATTTATAAATAATGTTATTTATCATTAAGATATGATTAAATTGCCTCCTGTTGTTATGAAATAGTTTGGCGACAAGGAGGAAATCCTCTTGGCCCAGTGACATTGCAGCACTGAAATGGTCTATAAAGCTAATAAAATAATCAAAAATAAATCTGAAACCATTCAAATGCAACTTGCTGCAGCTGTAACTCACATTCGAGACATTTTTATGCAACTCACATGCACTCATAGTCTCATTTGCTTACTAATGTTTATATCTAAATTATGTAATTAAAATCTCAACATATGCACACTCATACACTCCGGCCAGTGTAGTTGATCAGTTCCCCTACAGCACATGTGTTTGGACTGTGGGGGAAACTGGAGCACCCAGAGGAAACCCACACCAACACAGGGAGAACATGCAAACTCCACACAGAAATTAACCCAGCCGAGACTCAAACCAGCAACTTTCTTACTGTGAGGCGATGACACTATACCACTGTGCCACCATGAAGCCTCCATTTCTGAACACAATATTTTTAATAACTCGATTCAGCTGATGTATTTTCTCCTTGTCATGATGACAGCACATAATATTAGACTGGATATTCTTCACGACACTAGTGTTCAGCTTAAAGTCACATGTAAAGGCTTCACTAGGCAAGTTCTGTAACCAATACAGAAAATAATTTATTAAGGGGCTAATAATATTAACCTTAAAGATTGCTTTATAAAGTAGGCAAACTATAAGATAAGACTGTCTCTAGAAGAAATGAACTGTGACAGGAAACACTGTGAAAATGTTCATTGCTCCGGTAAACATCACATGGGAAACATTTGAAGAAGAGTTCAGATTTAGCTGAAAGTGGCTGAATAATTTCCTATTTAACTGTGTGTGTGTGTGTGTGTGTGTGTGTGTGTGTGTGTGTGTGTGTGTGTGTGTGTGTGTGTGTGTGTGTGTGTGTGTGTGTGTGTGTGTGTGTGTGTGTGTGTGTGTGTGGAGAGTGTAACGCTGCAGATATGCAAACCACCTTAAGATGA